GGGGGGATTGTGAATGTAATGAGCCTCAGATCGTCATATATTTGATAAGTAGTCAAATAGTTATGTTGTGACTACAAATACTACTGGACATAAATAGAAACTTAGCTCTCTTACTCGAGGGGGGAAAAGAAAAAAAACCGGTGGGAAAAGGCTTTTTATGTTCCAGCAGTGATATAACAAGCAACTGACCGGGAGGCTGGAGGGGCGGCCTTGACTGTCCTCTGGGCCAGACTTAGGCTGAGTGGATGGAGGGGTGTTTGACTGAAATGAGTCCTGGGATACCTCCTAAAAGACATCAGAACATATGCCTAAATATACTGCCGGAGTCACATGCATGTGAACACACACACACACACACACACACACACACACACACACACACACACGCACACACGCACACACGCAGAAATATAACCCCAGACTGAGACTTGTACCTGCTGTTGTGGAGGAGGAAAGCGCTGATAAGGTGACTGCTGTGCTTGCTGCTGCTGCTGCTGTTGTTGCTGCTGCTGCTGTTGTTGCTGCTGTTGTTGTTGTTGTTGTTGTTGTTGCTGCTGCTGCGGGTACGCTGCAGGTTGGCCCTGTGGATGTTGGCCCTGTGGATGTTGGCCCTGTGGATGTTGGCCCTGTGGATGTTGGCCCTGTGGATGTTGGCCCTGTGGATGTTGGCCCTGTGGATGTTGGCTGTGTCCCGGTGGCTGCTGTGGCGGCTGAGACTGTGGCTGCTGTTGCTGTGAGGGGGGCTGCTGAGGCCCCTGTGTGGCTCCTGTGTAGTTGGACTGGCCCTGTGATCCAGGGGGTTCCTGGGAACTTGGCTGCTGCTGCGGCGCCTGACTGGGAGGACCCTGCTGCTGGGCGTAGAGAGACTGGCCAGACTGCGGGGCTGGGGCTTGGGAATAGGGGGGTTGAGACTGTGGAGGCCCTTGGGGAGGGCCTGCCAGTGGCCCCTGAGACTGTGGGGGCATGTGGGGCTGCTGATAGGGCTGTCCTCCCTGGGTGTGTGGAGCAGAAGTCGGCGGAGGGTGGGTTTGCCCCGGGTAAGGTGTCGGGCCACCCTGTTGCCCAGCTGGGGGCTGGGAGTAGGGGGTTTGCTGCTGGCTTGGGTGAGGAGTCTGGCCCGGCTGGCCGTAATATGGTGCCTGGCCCTGAGAGCCATAGCCTCCTGGTCCCTGCTGTCCATAAGATCCCATCTACACAGAATACACAAAAACAACAAAGACTTCAAACCAACCCCAAAAAAACACAAATACTGATCAAAATGAAGACACTGGGGGCTTATTTCTGAATAAGATAAATCGTGTGAAATACCTGTGGACCATACGGCATGCTACTCATGCCACCGGGGGAACGTCCTTGCATTCCCACTGGGAATCGCTGAGGACCTGGAGGGCCATAAACCTGGCCAGGGTAACCAGGCCCCTGTTGTGGACCTGCTGGAGGCCCTTGCTGCGGCTGTTGACTGTATGGACTGCCTGCTCCATATGCTTGACCTCTCATTTTTCCCATTGGGTCCATAGGACCAGGTGGCTGGACCTGGTAAAAAGAAAAACGGGGAAAATACATGAAGTCAACAACCAGAGAGCATAGGAGAACTATGCTCTCTGGCAAGTGATACAACTGACACACAGCCTCCCTCTTTCCTATGCAACTGTATTAGGCCAGTACAGTGTGTCCACAAAACACTTGGCTGCAGTGTGCAACTTTACTTAAAGTGTAAAAACAAACTTCAATGAATGGGTAAATTGTGCTTTTTTTTCCCCACCTTATTTCCCACGGTCATTACCCTGATTTTTTTTTCACCTCGCTTTGCCATAGTTTCAGAAGTCAACAGAGCTATATATATCTACTTTCGAATGGAGGGCAGGCTGCCCAATCTTAAACATATCCCAGCTGTGCTCCTGTTTTGAGTCTGGTCCAAGTAGGTTTTTTTCCCCCCGGAGAAGGCATTCTGGCTCTGAATGAATGACACCAGAATTGAACGAAGTACTTTCCGCAACAGCAGGAGTGTGCAAAAATGCACAGGAGCATACTCTTGTCTATAAGCCAACCGTTACTACGAACATTTTTCTCGGGTAAAAACTAGGTGCGTCTAAATCGTCCATGTGGGACTTCCATTTCGGATCCAATTATTCCCTCACCTCCACCAAAATGATTTGGCACTGAAAGGTGGGGAATTCTAACATCATTTAGACATGAGAGCATCTACTTAAAAACTGAAAGTATCCCCTCACATCAAGTGAATTCCCACTGGTGCACTTTGCCGAGAGGAGCGTCCTCAGCTTAACAAAAGCCCTTTACAAATAGTATGCAAAACGCCTTACCTGACATTTTGCAGATCCAAGATAATGAAGTAAAATAAATAAGAGCAGCACATGGCTAATCTGCATAAGACAGAGAGGAAACTCCCTTGGCCAGTGAGAGATGAGGTCTGCCTTCTGATTGGCTTGGGGGGGGGGGGGAATTGGGGGAATTCTTTGCAGTCACACAGTCAAACTTGTGTGGCATGCCAGACACAGCAGCAGCGCACACACGCATCCTCACAGACAGAAGTCAGTTCTGCCTTTTGCTACCATGTAGCAAGTTATAATATGAAACAAAGATGTCTCATAATCTGTAATGTGTGAACATAGATAGTGCTGTGTAAATAAATAACCATATTGATAGAAGATGGTAGTAAAGATCAGCAGATGTCTTAAGTCACTATGTTGTAAACATTTAATGACTGTAGTAACGCTGGTGTGCATTTTTTTATTTGTATTTGTTACAAATAACATGTACACTCTATGTATCATATATAATGATGCAGAGCACAGTTAGCTATGAGTTCACACATTATCCATCAACCGTGCTGCATGCATGTTAGAACAAACGGCTAATAATTCTCATGCGGGGAAATATTTGCCAAAAGATCAAATAAAACTAAAAATATTACCCATGACCCACTTGCTCCCACACTAGACGTGTTGGTTAAGTATGGAGCAGAGACAGCTCTGGTGACCCCGTGGGTGAATTAATTATGTGTGTTCTTATCAGCTACTGTTGCCTTGAATCACATGTAATTAGAAATGGCCATGAGCAGCGGATGAGCAGCCAATCAGATTTCAGCTAGCATGTCAACCAAAGACCAACTATCTCCTGGCTTTGACAGCAGGATTTTACCTCCACAATTCAAATCCCAGTGCAAACTGCAATCTGCAGTCACTCACTCGTATGGCTGAGCTGGCTGTTTACAGGCAACATGCATGGGGGAGCCCAGCAGCTTTTCAGCACAGGGAAACCCATTTAATTAAAATATGATCAAAGTGTAACAATTTACACCCTTCCATAATATCTTACACAACATTTTTTTGTGATTTAAACTGAACCCACGCGAGCCTATTTAACTAACCGTGAGCGGCTGATTCGACAGGCAACACATTCCTAATGTCGTAGCCACTAAATTATAGCTTCTCGAGCAGGAACACGATATAATCATGACTGTAAGCAACCATCACAAACTAATGTGCGTGTGAGAGAGAGAACAAGTTTCCCTATATATATATACCGTATAGTATACGCACAGTAATGAGAAAATACGGTGTAAATTCAATAAATAACACGCATAGAGAAGCTATCATAGTGGGAAAAAAACCAGCCGTTGCTCTTCGTTGAGTATTTTCGCCCCTTTTCAAAGTCGGGCCTTCTTGGCTCCCTGAACGTCCTTACATCGTTTCAACAACTTATATCTTATTCAAGCGAGACTTGTGTAGTGTTACATACATTTGTCTACGTATTTTAAATGATCATTATTTAACGGTCTGGTGTAAAGGAGAAAAAAAACACACGAGAGGCAGCCATTTTAGAGTCTTTGCGAACTAGTAGCAGACAATGGCTGGCCTGCTACGTTGTGAACTAGCTAGGAGGAAGGAAAGGTGACGTGCTAAAGCCCAAAACATGTTCCTGTAATAATGTGACTTTACCTGGCTTCTTACTAGCGTCTGCCCGGCACTCCCCGGGCTCAAAGGCGACGGGTGATGGCTTCTTTGTTGCCACCCCAGATTGCTCCCTCCATACAGCCCGCTAATGTCTGCTGGTCCCTTACTAGCTCCTTCTTGACTACTGTAGTCGTTAGTCGGGTAGTTTGGATATCCCCGCGTTGAGCTGGGGGAGGTTAGGAGCTTGTTGAGTGTCGGTGTGGATGTAGGTTGGGGGTTTCCAATGTTATATCTCTGGTTACTGTAAGATCCGGCCATCGCCGTGGGTCCTCCCGCTGGTGGCGGTTGCTGCTTTACGTTAGCTGGCTGCCCCCCAGCTGTCGGCGCCTGGGTACTGCGAGGGGAGTTCACGGCGTACGCCTGCCCGGGATAGGGAGTCCTGTTCGGGAACGGGTTGTAATTGTTAAACTGGTGGTTTGAAAAGCCATGCTCTTGTGAATTAGGTTGATACGGGTCCATCATGTTGCTCGACTGCACGACCGGACCCGCAGCTGCCATGCCAGGGCTTTGTTGTCCGCCATGTTGATGAAAAGGGGCCCGACCGTAGTGCTGATTATATCCGTACGAAGAGGGAGGAAACGCGGTGCCGTGGTGATGCACCAAACCGGGGTGGTTATTTCCCTCCGGTCCGACAGAGTCATTCTGGTTATTATTGTTAGCCCTGGGCGGGTTCCCATTCCCGTTCTTCATCTCAGGTTCCCCTCCTCCCCCTGCATTTCCACCGTCGGCCCCGTCCTGCAGATCCCCCCGGCCTGGCGATCCGCTGTCCAAGCCGGGCTGCGTTTTGTCTGACTGCTTCTCCCCCGGTACCGACTCGTCCTTGGGGTCTCGATCGGGCTTTTTGAGTTCGGAAGGCGGGCTAGTGTTAAGAGTGGCGACCTGAGCGGCCATGATATACCCCCCCACCCCACCACCAGCTCTCTCGCGAGTCAGTCACAATCAAAAGCTAGCATTGAATATAAATAATTGTTTATAACCATCTATCCTTGTGCCGATTCATTCCCACCCCTTATACCGGACCGAATCCGGCTGCCATCCCGGTTCCGGTTCCGTAAATGGGTTAGAAATAGGATGGACGCTCCATACAATGCGTAAAAAAGCGACAGAAATTGTTGTGGGAGTTGTGTTACTGAGTCCGGGTAGAAGCAGGGAGCGAACCCAACCAACACGAGGCTCCGCTACATACAGCCATTTTACTGAGCCGCACGGTTGGCTGCAAAACACGAGCTGTATTCGCTCCAATGCGGACTGGACTGTTTTTTTTTTCCTTCTTCTTCATACAACCACATTGTCTTTAGCACTCATACATGGAATATTTTCTTCACACGAAGACAGTCTAATGTTCTCACAACTGAGTAATGTTGTGTTACCAACATAAGAACTATAGACTAAACCAACTCAAGATGCTGTGCGTTACAAATATATTAATATGCATGGTGCATTTCATTAGTGATCAGTACAGAGGTGAAGTAATTCA